CCTATGCGGGGTTCGAGTGGGGTGGGGCCGAGGGCTGGGGCGGGCGGGCCGAAGAGGGGGAGGGCGGAGGAGGGGGACGATGAGTAGAGTTGAACTACTTGAATTGTGCGCACCTTGAAGTGTATGGACTATTGACTTGACTCTGGGTTGAGATGTGATGTGATGGCTGTGGCATTCATGTAGGGTCCTGCGATCTGCGGTTGAGCTGTGCTTCATCTAGTGGACTGGTATATTGTGCAATGGACACTCGTTTCTTACTTGGTCTGCTTTCGATGCATTCATAAGCTATGCGATCAGTGTATGGCAATGGGTAGGATCTGCCTTGGATCTGCCGTTGTTTCGAGTATGACCAAGACCACAGACTGGGTGACAGCTTGGAGTACTTGTCCGGTGATACTTAATGCTCGTTTCTGCGTCGATGCGCCGAAGGCACCTCGATAGAGGTGCGCCGCTGGGGTCTGGTCAATGTTGTCGAGTCGCGGCGGCGGCGGCGCGACGCGACGCGACGCGAGTTGAGACACGCAGCAACACGCGTCATTCCATCAAACACGCGGCTCGGGCCGCGCCTTCGCTTCCTCCGCCTCTCCCTCGTCCTCGCACGGTCTACCACATATCGGGTACCCTTGGCTAGCAGCTACATACCTGTTCTAACGGGATGGTCGATGGGATGTGAGGGCAGGAGGCAAAGGCACGGGAGTATGGCACGACGAAGAAGAGATGGAATAAAGTCGCGTAAACTTGGTAATAAAATCGCACGAATATTGTAAGAACGTGCAGAGGAGGGTACGAAGTCGAAAACGTTCGTACGGCGATACATTCATCCCTCCTCATCCGTCTCTACTTCCAAGTCAGTATAGTAGTACATGCATCCTTCTTCCGCAATACCCTTGATAATGCGCTTATCACGCACCACCGTCACCACGTCCCGCACATCGTCAAGATACGGCGATTCGACGCCTGCCAGGTCCGAGCGCATGCTCTCTGTTGACCACCCGCCCGTGATACGGACCTCGCGCACGGGAACGTGTACGCGATGGCGCTGGTGCAGGACCGATGTCAGGGCCGACCAGCACTCTGTGTGCCACGTCTCGTACTCGCCGGGTATCTTGCGCATGTGCACGACGAGCGTATCGAGCCGTGCGAACGGTACCGCCCCACCATCTTCTCGAGGCCTCAACATGCGCAAGATGCCGCCTACGCCCTTTGAAGCGTGAATGGAGACGACGCTGACAGCCGTGAGCGGCTCGAGCGCGCGTCGCATCTCCTCGTCATCGTAGTACCCGTCATTCTCTAAGCTGAGCAGGTTCAAATGGCGTATACAATCAGCTCTAAGCGCAGATACAAGAGTCCGCATGATGCCCGGCATCTCTTTGTACTCCGTGCGGCACACGCCAGTGTGCAGACCGATCTCATGTCTCCCTGCTGTTCTCCTGCGTTCACGAGAGCGACGCAGTACAACGCCGACGGTCAGTTCGCCCGGACATCGCACGACTAGCGTGTCGAGGGCTGCGTCGTGTAGCTGGTGCTCGAGTACATGACAAGCGGGTTCGATGACTTCAGCCAGATCGAGCCCGACAAGTTCGATGTTGGTGTCTGCGGGCGTCCGCAAGCAGGACCAGAACCCGAAGACGTCTGCGCGCGGTGTACCGGAAACGTGGGCATCGCGCAAGTGATCTAGCGTCACAGGCTGCCTCATGCAGGTTGTCCATGGACTAATAGAGAGCGGTATATTCGTTGTCAGAATTCCCCCGCGGCCGCGGTCGGCACCAGGCGTGCGCACGTCGCCGTAACGCAGGCCTATGCTCAAAGTCCGCAAAAGCGGAAACCCGCGCAACATATCCATCAGATGACGAGTATACGACTCGGCGTCTATGCCCCATAACGTCGTGCTCAGCGAGGTGAGCATCGGACAAGTGAAAGTGAACAAATCGCAGTGGGTGAACGATCGTAGGGAGGGGGCTTCTAGCCGGAGGGCGGGGTCAAACTGTCCCGTCGACGACCGGTTATACACATCGGCGCTACGCCCAGGTCGATGGTAGACATGAACGTCAAACTCCTCGAGCAGAGGAAGCGGTCGGCTGGTAAGGGCCTCGTTTATCGCGTAGCGATACTTGGCGTCGACGCGCGAGTTGGCGCCGAGTCGAAGGCGGCGGACTCGGGATATGTGCGATAGGGCAAGTTGGACCAGGCTGTCCTGAACGAAGCCACCCCGCATGTATGGATTGGTGAATGAAAGCGGCGCATCGCGCGCACGAGAGACTATCTCGGGTGCCGCGTTCGGGAATGTGCAGATGATGCTCGCCCACAGCGGGGATAAACTCAGAAGAATGGTTCGCCAGCGCCTGCATGCGTGTCCGATTGAGATCCAACCCAAGCTATATCGCACCTCTCCTTCGTTGTCGGTTTCTTCTCTGTATGGCGGGTCTAAACTGGCGCACACGTTGAAGATAGCGCAGAGGACGTCGTCTGGAAGCCTGCCACACTTCGAGGGGTCCTCGATAGCCAGATGAGCATGGATGTGTACAGGAGCGGGTTTAAAAGAGGCCATCCCCAACCTTCGCCTTGTAAGTACTAGATACAAATGTTTTGTCGAGATGAAAGTTCACGTTCAAGCCGAGGAGTGGCGAGGGTCACGACTCGTCTCGATTCGGCCGGCTCCGAACTACTTCGGAGCTATCTCGGAGCCGCAAGTTACCCACAACTTGCGGCTTGATGTGCTCCTTGCCTTCTACCACGACCTGCTTGCGGGTGGACGCTCAGCTCCCTCGCTGATGTGACCGGCGGGCTTGACGCGCGGACTGTGACTTTCATATAACGATGAAGCTGCTCAGCAAATTGTGAAGCTGTTAATCGCCAGTTTGGCGAGTCTCCTTACACGGAGCCACAAGTATCTCATGTCGACCAGGCTTTTACTGCTGGTTCATTCCACGGCTATCTGTGAACTAAGGGCTATGGACTCGGTGCAGAACATCGTGCGCCAGGCCTTGACGGGTTCGGCTTGTGCTTTTTACCTCGCTCTCGAGGTATAACCGATCAACATAACATCTTCAATGACTTACAGGGCCTTCTGACATGATAGTTTGCACACTCGACTCGGCTTCTGTCTCTGAGGTCTTCCATTGACATTCAACGAGGTGTAATGATTGCCTTTGTGCTCTACGCTCACACCTTTGACTATCCCAGAGGAGCTTATAGGATGTTGATGCATAGTGTACACCAACCACAGATGTTCCTCGCTCAAGAGCGTACAAATACAGTACGATCCTTCGGAGTCGCGGCACTCGCTCCGAGGGAGTATGAGAGAAAGGCATGTCACTCTTGTCAGCTGTGGTTGGAATGGCGCCCAATGTTAACTCTTGGCTAGGTCCGCCCGCATCGAGTCGCACGATCGCAAAGGTAGCATTCCCAGTGACCAAGCTCTCGAGACTCAGCCCCCGAGCGACTTGGTTCATGTATTTATGCAGACGACTAAGCCATTGCAGGTGATTGTCCAAGAGAGCTGGCCTTCAGATGATAACGAGAGTTGATCAGATAAGCAGCTGAAAGATGTAAAGCGTGGGTGCCCGGTGCCCATCGTCGTGTCTGTGGGAGTGTAGAAGGGTGCTCGATGCTGGAGTTGAGCACGGTACCGAGCACGGCTCCGACCGGTGTGTGAAGGCGGCGACACGACTACCATCAAGCTCGAGAGTTGTTTTCGCATTACAACGTTGTGAGTGAAGACACCGGCGGCGAATAAGCGAGCATCTTCCCGAAACTCGACGCAATTGCTCAGGCAGCAGCAGAGAGAGCCCGAGATGAAGATGGAACGTTCACATGGTACTGGTCGTGCCGTGAGTAAATGGACGGTACCGACGGCGGCTGAACCAGGAGAAAGGAGACTTGCGCGCTGGCGAATTTGACCAAAGTGAGCGGCGGCGCGAGTCTTCAATTCGAGCAGATCGAGGTCGCAGCAGATCAGTCCTTCACGAAGCACTCCTTCTCCGAGGCAATACACAAGAGGGTACCCGGATTGGAAGGTGGTGTCGCCGTAACGATGTTCGAAGAAGATCGAGTAACAGGATGAAAGGCTGCGCTCCAGATAAAGGGGCCGTACCCATACTGACAGTGATTGAGGCACGAACGAGCCTTCGAGTACGAGTAGCATCGAGGGATAGTTGCGCCTCGCGAACTACGGTCATCTCGTTCGACTGAAAGGCGAGTAATAGAGGGCCGCTACACGTTGCGATCCTAGAACTCCTCCGAGTCCAATAAACCTTTCGCCATCGTTGAGCTCGAGATGAGCATGGTGTAACTTTCTACGCGGAGCGAGTCCTTGATGTCTCGCGGGTCGTTCGGACGAAGTTCCAGTCCGATCTTGGTGGCTGGATGCTCGCAGATTGTGTACTGCGCAGCTTCCGTCGCCGCCTGACAGCACGCGGGAGCAACGGCCGCCTGCGCATAGACGTCGAGAGTGCGTCTACATGGTTCTGGTATCCATTCTGGCCTATTAAGCCACTGTCACACCCATACATCGGCGCTCTGAATTGAATATCCGCGGGTATTTCAAGTGCCTCCGCGGCATTGGCTCCCTGCAAGATCAGTATCTTCACGTTCATCATGAGGACGCCGCAGCCGGTCGGCTGCGCCGAACAGATTATTTGCATGGACCATTGTTTGAGGGTAGCTAGTGGAGTGCGCAGTAGCCACTCCGGCACCGCTACCACCGACGCGTTCACTGCTCCGACGTTATTCGGTGCACTCCCCGAGTAGCAAAGCAGTGCCTGGCTACAAGATGTTGAACGTTGCGGTATTGTCATCCATAGCGCTCGTTGGACCGCCCAAGGGCCACGCGGAGTTCAAGTCGTCCGAGCTGATGCGAAATGCTTTTGCTGGGTGATATACGCGTCCGAACGGCAGTGTCGATAGTCAGGATGAATAGGTTTCATACAACGCCCACAAGCGATGTCAAGACACTGATCAGAGCGCACCCGTTGATGGTAGTGCGTCCAAGACTGGAGATAACCGCACTTGTAACGCAAGTCAGCCACCGGACTCGGGGACGAAACGAAGCTGACGTTCAAATGCCTACGGCAGTTCAAGCCTCGCCGATACATGCCCGAGACTGAGCTATTGAATATCGTCCTGCGCCGCAGACATAAACCGCATTACATCTGTGCAGATCATCCAGCGCTTGCATCAGTGTTAGCTTATTGGAGGCGCCTAAAGCAAATCGCCGGATGGATGTCAAGCAGGGTATGCTACCACGCCGCACGATAGTAAGCGGTCAACCTATCCAGGTATGCCAAGACCTGGAGAGTCAGATAGAAGGTAGCGTAGTATACAGTGTACGCAATGCGGCGCCCGGAGGAACGTCATAGGACCACCAAGAATTGAGAGAACTGTCGATAAAGTCTATAGATGCTCGGAGATGACTGGCACCGGAAGCTGGGTCGTCGCGGTGTTTTGCGAACATTAGGTTTGGTAAGGCGTGGCAAACCCCAAGGCACGAGAAGGGTCGGCTACCATGAGAGCCAGGTGCGATTCTTCGAGGCGCGAAGAAGCGACCAGGAAGATGAGGCAAGGAACGAAGCAGAGTGTATAGGTCCATGGTCCTCCAGCAGCTGCGCTTACGAACAGCCGAAATACCTGCACAGGGATACCATTGAAGGCGATATTCTGACGAGACTGCGATTATGCCACTGGTTAGAGAGCGTATGATGATTGGACACGATGCAACACACCCGAGGCTTGCGTGGGACGCATCTTTCCCAAGGGATGAGCTTCTTGAGCGCGACCCGATTCTCCTAAACCGATAGTCGATGTCTTTCTCAGGGAGTGATGACAAGTCGTGCACACCTGTCGAGTTCTGGTCGAATGGTGATGGAAGTTCTCTATGACACTTCCATCGGGCGACCCGCTGAGTTTCAAACAGGTGCTAGGATCACGTTGCGAACGCGTTGAGGCAAAAAAGCTTGAGGTGCGAAAATCAACCTGACCGTCGCGAGCGTCAAGGTGTCGTGCTGCGGCGCTGGAGAAGTGCAGTGTTGGCGACAGCATCAGGGTACAGCAGAAGTCAATCGAGCCAGGAACATGCAGGTGTAAGTAAGCTGTAGCGATGCCATGCGCACAGCTCTACAACTGCCATTCCAGCAGCACATGGCTAGGCAAAAGGCACCAGCTGCAGTGCGTCGCCCGATGAGATCGACGGACATTCGGACCAGGACGCCGGAGCCAGCGGACGAAAGCCGTGCTTTGTGTCGGCCAGCGAGCATCAGAAAAGATAATGAAGTCAACGTGATATAGCATGCATCGGGGACTGCGCAGTCACCGGGAACGAGGATACAAGCTTTGCGGGGAGAAGACAAAGCTTTCTTGAATTAGGTTGAAAGGGTTGATCATGTCCGTGCTGGCTACTGGAGCTGCAGGAAAAGGCGAGGCAGGCTCAAAAGAGGCAAAGCGCCAAGGAGAACCCGCAACTGATCTGAGCGCGGGAGGAAGAAAGCGAATTCGTATTTGCTGCGGAGAGGGCGGAATGGCCTGGCTTTCTTCCCAGGGTCCGGATGTCTAAAGAGCACCAAGTTGGCTGAAGCGTTCAGCCAGCTTTAAGTCCATCACCATGCCCGTCGACCCCACCCCATCATCCAGTCGGCGACTTCAGCGCAGAGACCAAGACGGAATCCGCCAGGATGGAACGTACGCTCGCGAGATAGAAATGAAGCGAGCCCGCGGTGAAATATCGTGTGCCGAGTGTCGCAGGTGCGTTGATCGGACCTCCCCGCCCACAAGCCGAGCCCGCCAATCCGTGCATCATTCATCTTCTGACCACCACCACCACCACATTGCAGGTTGAAGATCAAATGCGACAAGTCTATACCATGCCAATCCTGCCAAGTACGCTCGCCACTCTACATTATGCTTCTATGTCCTAATACACCCTCCAGCGCCGAGGTTGTGCTGCGTTATGTCCGAACGGTTCGTATTGACGTTCAGATCGATAATGTGACGTATCGCTCATCGATAGTATAGGTAGTCTTGCCACTGGACAGGGTACTCGGTACGCCCAGGCGAAGACCCCGTGGTTCAGATACTTACAAGCCCTCCATCCAGTTTCGTGATTGCTGCCACCGAGCATCTCCACAAGCGTATCGCGCGTATGAGTGATCGTATACGCCAGCTCGAGGACGGACTTGCAGTGCTACAGTCTGCTCACTCTAAGGAGCAGCATCCTCTTCTACATGACTCACAACTCCTTGTCGAGCATGATAAAGCACCCGAGGATCCAGGAGCTGACAGCGGCGACGAGGGTGAATCAACTACGGAAACGCTTACTGCTTTTGGAACCATGTCGATCTCTGAGCATGGCTTGTCACGTTTCTTCGGCCCGACAGGCGGCTCCGAAGGTCTATTGCTCGTACGTAGCCTCCCTACACCTTCTATCTTCCAAGCAAGCGCCTTTCCAATCTTGACGGAGATAGGGGCTTTAGGACTTGGCGTGGGCGACTCGAACGGGTTGACTGATTCTTTGTCTCCACAGATTGACGACGACAGCACACAGTCGCCGAAATCCAACTCCAGTGGCAAATCCTCGAGTCCTGCTCTACCACCAGAGGTCGTCCGCTTCTCTTTCGCCTTCCCTTTCACGCCGATGGGGCCCACTCAGGACGTCTACACCTTGATCTTGAGCTATCTGCCACCATACGAGATCACATCTGTCATATGCGAGTGCTACCTTGCCAATGCCGGCTGGCTCTTTCGCGGTCTTGGTCGCGAACAGCTTATGGACGAAATGTTACCCGTTATCTTCAACTTACGTCCCGCGCCGCCGAACTCATCTGCCGACCAGGATTATACGTCACCGCACGCACTTGGACTGCTCTTCAGCGTACTTTCCGTCGGACGCATAGTGGATATCGGACTTACCACAGCCGCTGCGGAAGCTGAGGGTGAACACTACAATCAGCTCGCACACGCGGCTCTCTGTTTGCGTCCTGTCCTTGAACGGCCGTCGATGATAACTGTGCAAGCACTGCATGTCGCCAGTATCTATAACGCGATGTCTGGATCTGAGGTATCAGGTGGTGAATCTACGATGGAATCGTCCTGGTCTCTTGTCGCGCTTGCTTGTCACATCGCACATACGGTCAGTACTCGTATTAATCCTCACAACTCTCCCCAGCTCACAATCCACTGCAGATCGGACTGCGTGAGCTTACTCGCTGTGATCGTGTAATCTCTATCTGACGAACACTCTCTTAGATCGAGATAGTGCGCGGTGGGAGCCGAGCCCGAAGATGGTGCAACGACGCCGAACACTCTTCTGGGACTTGTTCGTCGCCGACTCCTGGCATGTACGCTCTTATCTCTCTTCCGTATGGTCACACGTGTCTGACGTGTTGCCCAGGCGCTTTCCACTGGGCGTCCACCCTCACTGCAGCGTGAATACATCGATTGTCAGTATCCGCAAGATAACGAGATGAAACTCGATGCGCAGGGCAATCCCGTACCCGGATGTATGCTTTGAAAGATTTTTGACGGGTACATCGACTGATTGAACACGCAGTTGGCTCTTGGGGATTCCGCTTTGCATTCGAGTGCGTGGCTGAAATCTCAGCGAAGACATTGATCGCAAGTCCCCCACGCTACTCCGACATCCTTGACCTCGACCGGAAAGTGCGCGACTTCTACATTCCACCGGATGCCTTGGCTCAGCTACGCGGAGGGTACGCCGACATGCGTGACATGCCGATAGCTCTATCCATGATCTACTTCGTGCTCTCGCATACGCGGGAAGTCAGTACGTCGCATTCCGTGTGTATAACTCCTGATTCGCCCTGATCGTCATCACAGTGCTCCTGTTTATCCATCGGGGGTACTTCGCGCAAGCGCTCATCGAGAGTCCGGTCAATCCACTGAGAAGCCAATACGCGCCATCGTTCCTGGCCAGCGTCCGAGCGGCGTCTACAGTCCTGCGTTGTGTACGCGACCAGTTCGCCATGCATCCCATCATGTGCTCGCGGTTCTGGTCGCCATGGACCTACGCGTTCTCTGCTGCAGTGCGTTGTCATGATTGTCCTACAGCGCTTTCACCAATATCTCATTACCACTGTAACAGATTGTCTTCGGCGGCATCGTCACTCGCGGGCCCCGCTCACATCTTGCTGATACCGCGATGGCCGAACTCGAGCAAGCCTGCGATATGTTCTCACAAGCGGCCAGATACAACCGGCGAGCGTCTAAGGCTCATGTACGTTCCGGACATCCTGCCGCTGATACGTAGCTGATGCGGGGACCTTGGACAGACCATTCTCAGTCGATTGAGGGATAAGGCGATTCGTGCCCTGGCAACGGCGCGGAGCCACGACCCTGCTGCTGCTATCGACGATGGCGCCGCCTGGGACATCAAGCAAGAAGACGTCGACGATGAACTAGCGATCTTCGCCGGTCGTACCATGGTGCTCCGTCCGGGGCAGGGTGTAACTCAATCGACGCCTTCACCGCCAACTCTCCCTCGCCTCACCGCTGTACCTCCTTCACTGGCGCAGGGTCAAGGTGCCAGCCCTGTATCTCCCTATCCCTCCGAAACGGGCAGCTTCCACAGTTGGCAGTCTCGCCCTGTACAACCGCAGTCGACTTCTTCCCCTTATGAACGCACCCCACCGCCTTTACCCGTGTCTCACCAATACCGCCAACCAGGCGGATATCCCGACGTCCCTCCCGCTCAATATAATGGATCTGGATATGCGCACCCGCGCCAGCAACCGCCGATACCTCCCCAGCTTCCGCTCCTGCGCGTGCCCGTTCAGCACCCGCATCATATGCAGCAACCACATTCCGCACCGCCACAGCGTCAGGAGCAGTTGCAATATATGTCTCCTGCCACTCCAGATCCGGACGCCATCCATCTCTACCAACCGCACTCGGCGTACGGACCTCCGCAATCCCAGCAGCAGCCTTATGGCGAGTATACCGCGCCGCCACCCGAGCTTGTGCAGCTGGGCCTTGCGCCAAACACGCGTGTCCCCGAAGGATGGAATACGTTCATTTCTCAATCCAGTATTCTCGGATAAGTTGTATCATCAATAATCGTCACAATCGTCTTATTACGGATATCTTTCGCTCGGTTTTCTTGTTATCGAAGTGCTATCGTCTTGGGAACATAGGTCTTTGATGCGCTGTTGTCCTTGTACTGTACTGCATACCTTATTCGTATGAGCTGTTCGTTGAGTATCGCGCGACATTGTTGTTGGGAATGTATCTTCAGAATACGTAGTAGTACTCGATATCACAATACGTCGAAACTTTTACACACCGCTCAAAACCGTGTATATCTTTCAAGTGGGATGGAGTGCGTGTAGGGTGTTGATTTTCGGACTGATAGCAAAGCTACTCATACAGTGTCGAGGATACGCATCAATTGAGTAAATGCGGACGTGTATGGACGAGCTCGGTAGAACTATGGCACAGACTATGCGACAGTGGGAGGTTCAAGGGCAAACTTGTGGCAAGACGTGTGGGGCGAATGAAGCGTACAACTAAGGGTTGGCTATAAGGTATGAGGGTATCGGATGCGTGGGATACGATGGATACAGAAAGCACATGAGCAATAAACATGGAGGATCATACAAGAGGGATAAATACTCGCGCACCGTCGAGCAACTGCGAAATTTAGCGCCCCGAAATAAATATCGGGCGTAGGTATCAGTCACGAGATATCGGCTTCAAAACGTCGCCCTGAAGCTCGAGGATGCCACCGATTGTCAGAGTCTTGACCGCTTCAAGCACCTCAACGGTATCGAAATCTTCATACTTGTCTGGCGGCGCGGCGCTGTTCAGGTACACGAGTAAACTCGCGAGCGTCAGCTCATCGCTGAGTTCGTACGTCGTCGCATACAGATGATCGATTGAGAACCGTACGAATGCAGCACTATATATGAAAGTCAGCGTACAGTTCAAAGAGCAGTGAAGCGGATAAAGCTACCGTCCAGGGGCTGAGTCAAGATCAGCTTTGGCTGACCGCGTCCTGGTCAACGGCGTTTGGGTGGGAGCGTCGACGTCCATAGCCGAGCCATTGGCGCTGAGAGCGTCCGTTTCAGACTCGCCCATAACTTGCGGACTTGAGAGGGCATGGCCGCCAGCGGTTGTTGGATATGACCCGCCAGCACCACCATTGAGTGGTTGATCAGAGTGTACTCGGCGCACCCGCTTCTCGCTACAAAGGAAAGCATTAGTACATAAACTGAATAGCGACGAAGCATAGGGCACGAGGTGCGAGGATGTGAGATATGGGAACGAGACTCACGCGCGAACGATACATTTGGCGCGGTGTTGTTGCCACGGGTTCGCACAGTACGTGCTATCCTGGCGAAGCTGCACCCATTTCTGGCAGAGGGCGCAATACACACGGTGAGGCTCGACTTGCGCTATGAGCGGATCTTCGCGTAAAATCGCCGCGCGCTGTTCGGCATTCTTCTTGCGCGGGGCGTCGACGCCGCTTCCTGCCTGCGCCGCTTGAGCCTGTGCGGCCGCATATGCAGAGGCCGCAGCCAGGATCTCTGACACCGGGCGGCCTACGCGAGCGCCATCACCGGATGGGGCAGATCCGGTGCTGGGAGAAGAACCAGTGAGCGCAAGCTGTTGCTGTGTAGGTGGTGGAACGCTGTAACACTATGTCAATATAACGTGGAATGATCAGAAAAAATTGGTAGTCACCCTGGTTTAGACGGTGAAGTCGAAGACGCGTCGCAAGCGGCGCGGTGTTTAGCCCAAGCAGCGGGGGCTCCATCATCCGTTCCGACATGGACCCATTTCACGCATGTTCGGCACTGTACGCGATCGAGCTCTACCTTCTTCACGGTAGGATCACTGGCGAGCGCAGCAACTCGAGGGCTTGGTTGTATACCGACTCTACGACGCGTGAGCCGACGAAATTCCGGTAACACGGTACGAAGCGGACCGAGCAACGGCGCACGTACCCTTTCTTCGCGAGACAGCTCTTTCGATGCGCATCCCATGGAATAGAGCAGTAGGTTGAATTAGGCCTAAGACGGATCCATTTGTCACAAGCCCCGCAGAGAACGCGATAGGGCTCGAATTGAGCTACGTAGGGATCGGCGCGGAGATATTCGATCCGTTCGTCCTCGGTACGTTTCGCGCGGCGGCGCTTTGTAGGCGGCTCGCTCGGGTTAGCAGGGGCGCCAGGGGTAATCACAGGGGGCAGCTCAGTGAGCCCGACGTCCGGTGACCCTTCAGCATCGAGATCCTCATCCGCTTCGGCGTCCGCGTCGTCAGATACCGAAGCAGCGTTGCCAGTGCTGGTGGGAAGCATGAGTAAAGCAATGAGACCGAAGTGAAAGGGCGCTACTAACCACACACGCCTGTGTTCATTCCAGACTTCAATTTGAAGCTTGCCCGTCTCTGGATGGCGCCAAGCTACGGATTCACCGCAGGCGTCACACGACACTTTTCCGGAAGCGTACTCGTCGGCGGATTGGTCTCGTTCTAGCGATGCTACTGCGTCGGCCTCCTCGACGGCTTTGCGCTTCTGCGGTACACTTTCGTGCGGGGTTAGCGACTGCGCATGTATGTAAGCAGTAACGGCGCTGTGTGAAGACGTACGTAGGTGCGGGTTCCGCGGCTGGCTCGGTTGTGGTAGTCGTAGTGGTAGTCTGCGTCTGTCTGCAGCGACGGTAAGGCGAGTACGGGCTGCAGAGGCGGGGTGTCGCACCCAGGATCATCAAGTGGCGTAGACATGATGGTCAGAGAACAAGAAAGCGGGGCAGGCACTAATTGCGGGGCACGAGTGCGGGGTATATGAGGTGGCGAGGGGCAGGTGATGGAAGAGAGTCAAGACACAGAATTCGGTCTGGATCGTCGAAACGAAGATATGAGAAGCGGGGCGTGTCAAGATCTCCGAGACATAGAATACACTCTGAGCGGTTATGTATATGTGCGTGGGTTGCCGCGCATTGCTTTTCGTATGAGGGGGCATGGTGGATCAGACAACAGTCATCGCGACAACCAACAATTCCTTGCATAGCACGCTTTCCCTATTTCGTCACAGCCTAGCAAAGAAGCTTCCCAGCAATGCTAAATTGTTGGAGTCTCGTCCGAAAGCAGATGCGCCTTGCCCGTATGCTCCTGGAGGTGCACAGTTTGCGGCGTGGGCGCTACGGCAAGCAGAACAATGCGACACCGATGGCGGGCTCGTCGGCGGTAACGTCGACGCCGCTCCCTGCATCTCGATGAAGATCATTTGTCGTCTCGCATCACAAAAAAGAAGAGAACCAGGACGCCGTGGAGGTCAGCAGGACAAACGCGATCGAGCTAATTGACAAACATGATTCCCTGAACCTCCTGAGCCGATCCGGCAATGCCCGAGCCCACCACGCGGCTCTGAGCCTCATGGCTTTTGGCGCGCGTGCGGCGCGAGCGTGCAACGAGGTTCTTTTCCCGAACCTCCAGCAGGCTTGCAATCGGACATCTACCTCATCTATTGCTCTGCGCATCTGAATGGCACCAAAGTTCCAGACCGTTAAGGTGACATCCTCCCAACGAGCGAACAGAACGGGTGCAGAACTGGTCCCCGCAGTCCTTCCATGATGTATCAACGGAGCAAGGCGTCGATACTCCCAGCTTCCTTGAGGCATCCGAGGGGTTGATGGATCTCTTCGGCAAGCCGTCAATCGTGGCACTGTAGTTACGGAGCTGACCCTTGTCATTGTGTCTTTCCCCTTTCATCTCCAGATCTTTTTGGGAGTGTTGTCTTCGGCTTCGTGCAGACCGACCTCAGGTCAAACATTGCGGTATGATCTCCCGCTGCGGCCACATCACGCCGTCTGAGCGGCTGTATACGTTTGCAGGGTGTTCGTGCGCGCTACGCGTCTCACGTCGACAAGTCGGAGACATTGGAGATGCTCGTTGTCTCCGAGCGCTCGGAGGATCACCGACATGGCACTGCATGCTTAGTCCGTCTAGTCCGGTAAGCGCTTCTCCCGCTCGTATCCCGATTTGGGTCGTAGCCTCATGCTTTTGGTACGCAGAGGTCTATCATTCACATGCACCGCTCTTCAAGAAGCACAGCGAGACGAAAAGGCGCAGTTGCACGTCTGTTTTCGGTGACTTATTCATGACCGCCTTTCAAACGAGCCAGCCTAAACCCGGCTTCTTCAGGCGCGCGTATGATAAAGTCCTCAAACACCATCACTCGTTCGTCATACGATCCGTTGTAACCGTACGTGTCATGTTGCGATGTCAATGATGCCAACGTGCTCACGAGCATTCAGCTCGCCATACGCGCTGTGCCCCATCGTGAAGACTTCTTTGTGGCTCTTGCGGAAGGCGAAGACCAGAGCAAACTCATGGAGGAGATGCACAAATGGCTCTCTGCTTTGGATGATATCGTCCAACGCATGTCGAAGTTCTTACACGAAGGAGGACATGGCCGGGTCTAATGAACATGAATCGCCTCTGCATCTAGCCTCTTTCAGCACTTCCAACGCTTACGTGAGGATTCGCGTCGGCTCTAGACTTGTCCTACCCCAAACCAAATCATGACAGACATCGTGCCTACTCGTTCTTCGATGCATGCTCGTGTCACTGTACGCTACTCGGCTTCTTCTATCTTTGTCTCACACTTTACGACGTTCTGGCATCTACATACGTATAGAATACCATATGCTTTCGCGAACATATTTTCATCAACGGGCAGGCTGTGAATAATCCCAAGTCCGGTCTACGTCGCGACACGCCGGACTATGAGTGCAAGTTTACGGTAAAGAGAGCCCAATGCTGACAGATAACAAGGCTCCTTACTGATCGTCGTCTATCTGACGATCATAACACAGAAGGGATCGGACCAAGCAAACGGGGATCATATCTTCCAGATTGGGACGCTCTACGCGTCTAGATCTCATGTGACCGCGAACTTGCAGCAACCACCGATCCGCGACAACACGAACCTCGAACTTGACCTCGACGACCACGACTTCAGCACCTCCTACTACGCTGACCCTTCTCGAGCACTATATCTCGGCTCACATCATGTCTGAATCTGCGGTGGTTGAATATCTCAAGCCGCGACCCGCGGAAGCCGTGACGCAAATGCGCAACTCCTTGGCCGCGCTCTTCGCCCTAGTGGTTCTCACCTCGCTACTACCTCTACCTGATCTGCCTCGGGCTCTATTCAAGTACTTCTCTGCAAGATATAACTCGAGCTTTGAACGCGCCGCAGTATGGACTGGTGTGTACTGCGCGTATAGTTGCGGTCTCCATCCTGAATTCCAACCCAGAACTTTGCGCAACATGTGTTCTACTTGTGAGCTCGGCACAAGCAGCTTGGGGAGTAATCTCTCCTCGAAAACCTGCTCAGAAGCCTGCTGCGACGCCATCAAAACCACTGCTACCTCCCTCCACCGGAACAACGCCCAACTGGCGCCGTACGCCACATGCGCTTTCCCCCAATGTGCGCGCTTTATCCAAAACAAGATCTCCTCTGGCTGACTCGCAAGCATAGACTACCCCGCAACGACAGCGCTCTTTCGCAACTCCCACGACATCTGACCCGCGTGGCCTTGCATCATCGTACTCCCTCAACTTCGTGCCACCGTCCCCGGGCGACTCCTCCATCGACACATCGGTGTCCTTCACGCCATCCCCATCCCCACTGTCGGCTTACAGGGGACGACGCTCGCTCGCTTCGTTGACCCGTAAGTCCGCTCTTAGGCATTCTTCCATCATTTTCAGGTTACTAAGGTTGTGCAGGTGCTCTTGACGAGTCAGTGCTGGCACGACTGGTCAATGAGGCTTCGGATGATGAGGAGTGACCGGTGTAGGAATACCTATTTGATTGCTCTCAATGCTATGCGGCTTCGCCGATGCTCTCAAGGCCGGTGTGACGAAAGATATGCGGCCTCCGTTGGCCTGTCTAGCACAGAACGTGGTGCATGATTTGCGACTGCCGATCTCGGAGCAGACCGGTGGTCAACAAGATGTCAAGCACGGGAGATATCTGGGTACAGGTTTTCACCGAGGCAGTCAAAGCTGTGGGCCCGCCGATTGTGATGACAAGCTGAATATTGTGAGATATAGATTAGCAGGTTGTACTTCGCCGGTAACCCCGGTACACAATTATACGATATATCTAGCAAGATATGATGTACCCTTCGCCAGCAGTTTCAGACCGGTGTCTCCTTAGCGCACTCCGCGATAAGTACTGGAAGTTTGTCAGAGGATTGCTCTTGTGAGGACGTCAGAGAACTCACAAATTGTTGTCCCCGTTCTCATCATCCCGAGTTGTAGCCCAGCCTAAGACATCAAGTGAGCTTTGGGGTACATTTACAACGCCCAAAGCCTACGCACCTCAACAGCCGCGCCGGATACCACAAACACATCGCCATGGATGAGCATGACGCGCAGCGCATCCTTCTTCGCCGCCGACTTGAAACGCTCATCTTTCTTCATCGGCGCCTTCATCGCCTGCGGCGTATAGCTGATCTGCGTATTGGCGCCGAGGCACATGAGGACTATGGCGCCTCCCTCGGGAACGCGCGGTAGATCCTCTTTGACCTACAGGTCAAGTGAGACCATGAATCGAGACGAGAAAGCAAGAGCGCGTTACCCTCGCCTCCTTCATAGCTATCCATGTCTTGATGCTCAGCTTCTTAACCTCCAGCGTGCCTATTCCATGGCCGTACTCCGCTACACGCTCCCGCACGAGCTGTTCTATCTCCCCAAACGCGTTCACTTCATACCGGCGCCCATTCACAGCATCACCGCTTGGCAGAGGAAAGGTCGCTGACGCGAGGAACGCGAACTCGGTTGGTGACCTCTGCAACGGTATGCAACGTTGAATCTTCGTGAACATCTCCGACGGCGACTCTTGATGTTTGATCATGTTGCTCGTGAAGATGTGGGTGGCGGTCATGTGGAGAGCGGTGCCGTCAGCCGGCGGCGCATAGATGTCGTCGCCGTTCGGAATACTGTAGGTGCGCGTCGACATCCCGTTGAGCTTGAGCACGCGAGTCGAGATGGCCGGCACCCATGCGCTGTCCGCCATAGAAAGGACAGAAGTACGCGCTGGGACCCACTCGGCGACGACGGTCGCTGAGACCGAGGTTGATGTCGAGGGAGGACACGATGCGCTCTTGCAGTCTTGGCGGACGAGGGACACCTGCACGTTCACGCGCCCGCATCTTTGACAGTAGAACCCGTGCGGAAAGTTGCTCTCGCCGAGCAATTTAGGCAAGAATGTCGCGAGCAAGCCTTCGGGAATGAGCGACGGAACGAGCTCAGCGCGAATCTCTGCTTCGGTCTTCAGTCCGGGCGGCCGAACAGTGTCTGCTCGCGTCTCCCACCACGGGCGCTCTACCGTCTTCAGCCAGTCGTCGTACGCCTTTCCGTCTTTTTCCTCGTCTCGGAGCAGGAATTCCCCGCCCGGTACCCAGAGCAGCTGGAAGGTCCATGATCGGCGCACAGTGCTTGTAGAGGGGTCGGCGTTCGCAGTGCTTTCCTGGTGAGAGTGTCAGTGATCTGCGCGTATCGTGAGTGAAGTAGTAGTATACCTCAACATCTTCAATTGTGAATAGTCCCGCCCACACACAACCGACGTCATCCGGTAGAAGCCACGGCATTATAGGCGACTTCTTTGAGACGACTGGTGCCACAGGTCCTTTACGCCTAGACGCGTCAAGCAACATCTGAACTTCGGGCGGCGGCGGCGGATGCTCGACTGGCACTGCAGGCATCTTCTCGGGAGTGGCGGGAACCTGTCTTGTCGCGACATCCTCTGCAGTCCGAGGAGCGAGAAACGGGGCGGGAGAGTCGACAGTAGAAGGTGCGGCCAGTGTCGGAAGTCCCGACTTTGCGGCGTCTGACGTGCCCAGACGAAGATCGGCCATGCGGCTCACATCGCTCGACAAGGAAGGATTTCCACCCAGCAACAATGTCTGATGAACGGACGGAAGGGCGGACGCGCGGGGTGGGATCTTGATCGTCAAGCGTGGATCAGGCGTCAGATCCGCTGAGGGCGACATGTCCATGTCCACGTCGAACACTACTTCCAGAGACGAATATGACGATGCCGATGTCGACGGTTCTATCTGAGGCGCCTCAAGCCGTACTCCAAGTGGTGGAGGGTCGGGCAGAGGACCCTTTGGTAGCGTCGCGTCCAGCGTCTCCTCCTTTATTTGGAGCGAAGATTGACCGAGCGTCACGCTCGTTGGCATCATCTTGTACTCGTAGCACCTGATCTCTACATGAGTGGCATTATTTGAACAGCAGAGACCGCACTCACATGGTGAATTTGAGCTGGCGGCCTGACCAACTGTCATTCGGGTGAAGCCCCAGGTTGGACTGCTTGTCGTTCGCATCGAGGAACAGTAGCGTCGGCGCATCGAACATCCCACGCCGCACGCCACACCAGAAGGCAGAGCGGTCAAAGATCGGCGCGGCAGCTTCAAGATCCTCAAATGACTGGGAGCGATGTCAATATGGCAGTACACAGTCTGATCCAGGGCCGACTTACACTACACCATATGCGAGGTGGGCCTGCAGTCGTTGATAGCGATGGATGCGACGTAGTGGTAGATGCCAGAGGGCGCACAGACTTCCAAGGGGCTGTTGATCGTCAGCACGGCGGATAGCGCGAAGGGGGACTGACACATACTTATTCTGACGCCCTTCTTGAGCTTAGGCGGACGAGTGCCTGTTGGTTCTGAGAAGGAGTGTCAGCGATAGTGTACAAGCGACGAAGAGAGAATAACATACCTGGCAAAGGCACTCCGTTCGCGTCATACAGCACCACCTTCTTGTAGCGAGCAGGTCCGCTGCGTACTGAATGCAGCGACGACTTCGATATATCGGCCGGATCGACTTCGCTTCCTGTCGGGTGATTTAACGCGAGCGAGAGCACCTGTGATGTATCCACGAGCGGTGCAGGTGCTTAATGTAGACAGCGAAGATCAGAGGCAGAGACGCAGGATGATTCAACGGAGGTATACCTTTGCGATCGTCTGAGGTCTTTCTGCGCTTACTTGCGGGGGCCTTCTCACCATCGGCAGTAGCTACGGCTCGTCTCTTTCCCTTTGCTTTGGCGGAAAGTGGGGGCCCTTGAGCATTGGGAGAGGGACCGATGATACCGGTGGGTTCAACTGGGTGGGTATGGCGTGAGTACGTCTTCAGTGTTACATTCAGTGTTACAAAGATAGATCGAGACAGACCTCCAGACATCATCTGCGTGGTGCGACGCCGTTGCTTGGCAGGTTTGGCCTCATCTGCGTTAGTTGCCACACTCGAGGTCACGATTGGGACGTTGAGAGGAAGAGCTGTGGCGCCAGCGCGTGAGAACTGTATACACGGCAAGATCAGAGTAAACAAAGAGACGTACAGTTTGCGCTCGAGCTTGCCGACTCGTGCTGAAGTTGATGGTTCATGTCTGTACCGGTGGATATGAGCGCAAGCCAAGGAGACCAAGGTAACACGACACACCACCAACGAAGCCCGAAGTAAGCCCCGTATACAAAGGCGGATCAGTCATCGTCGAGTCGACCGCCATGGATGAATCCAAAGAGAGCGGGCTCGCTACCCAAAGGTCAGTGCGCACGCGAGGGGAAAGGCACAGAAGAACGCACGATCCGTAGGGGGTCTACTCCAGCTCGCAGAACCCATCCCGCGCGGGATGTTTCCAGGCTGGCCGAGACGTTCGCCGCCGGAAGCACCGGTCCTCCGAGCTACATAGACATCGGTGAGAAAAAAATGAAGTTGGAAAAAGGTGCCGCGCGCGAGCGCACACGCACCGACTCTGCGTTCTACCTCGTCGTCTCGACGCGTGATCTTTGGTCTCTTTGTGGTCGACGTCGAATATCCTGAGGCAGATCATGATGAATATGTGTGGCGACATGCCAGGACGAAATGCGCACCCGACGAGGGCAGAGAGCTTTCGACGCGGGCTGTAGAACGTGCCGAGTTTAGGACACCATAATGTGCCTGTCCGGAGGTGCCAGAATATTGATGTGCAACAGGTAGAGACGCGTTCGCATGATGCAAGCTAGACGTAGTTTGCGCCGCGAGCCCAGGTGTGAATGAAGCAGAAGCTGATCGCGACGATGGTGGGAGACCGGGATGAGGAGGTAAATGAAGTGGCCTCCGGTGTATCTCGGATGTGCCCGAGATATCTCTCACACTCATCTTCACAAGAGCAGCACTGTGCAGGGTAACATCACGGTCAGAGGCAGAGGCAGGGACATGCACTTTATCTCGCAAAACGAGACGAGCATCAACGAGACACGATGGCGTGAAGTGACTGCGGGAGCGGGAGCGCAACCTTGCCACAAAAAGTCTGAAATCCTGGGCCTTCTCAATCTAAACGGAGGACCGGCTGGTGAAGACAAAGAAGGTAGTATGTACCACAAGGGATGGGCAGCATAGCTTCCCTCCTCTAGAAAGGCAGTTAACCAGAGGGCCGCTCAGTTAGTAAACAGTTCAACATGGCGGGCTCTGCGAGCCTCGTGTTCGCAACAGAAGGCAGTGAGTAGCACGTGTACGATATTGATATGAGGTATATACATCACTATATAGAATGGGGGTAATAATAGAGCAGTAGAATGGTACAGTAGATAGTGCTCGCACGATGCAGAATCAGGACAGTCATTTGTCGCCGAAGGAACAGCGAAGTACCTGTACACATGTGTGCATTCAGTCGGAGCTGCCCGCCTTAGCGGTAAGTCGGCGCTTACCTAGAGCGGATAGTGGCCATCAGCCCCAGCACAACAAGAGGGACTTAATTTGGACGTACGCTTGGGCTTCTCCTCTTCCGAATACTCGTCGACATCCGAGAACGTGACAGGACCAACCTTGGTGATCTTGACCATAGGGTACATCTCCTCAAGAGTAGGGATGCCAGATGGAAACGCTAAAGAAGATCAGCACGGGGTCGAGAGACGGAGTCATAGGGAGTACGTACCAGCCCGCTTGGGCATGAATTCGGGCCTTATCTTCCCGGGTCGTGGCGGCGGGTACGTCTCGTCGGCTTCGATCGCGTTGAGCTTGCCGCGGCGACGTGCGGCTACGGTCGTACGTCAGAATTATAAGCGAGGCAGTATGAGAAGCTCATCGCTAACCAGATTTCTTAGGCGGAGGGTAGTCCTCAGCGTCATCTATCTCGGTGCTCTTGCGCTTGCGGGCAACTGAGGAAACGGTATTAGAACTATGCATATGAGCGTCAAGAGAGTAGTATAGTTCACCGGGTTTCTTCGCAGGCTTCTGCTCTCCGTCCTTCTCGGCAGACGCTGCCTTCTTTCCTGAGAAGTTATATTGGTACGGATGAAACGTTCGAAGCAGTCGTATACGCACGGCCGCGTGTGGGCTTAACATACTCCGGCATCGGAAGACCTTCCTCTTCACAGTACTCCTCGAGCTTTTCCTCCAGCCTGTGTATACGGGCTATCAATCAAAGGTGGACCGGAGAGACCCGGGATCACAAACGCACCGTGAAACAGTTGTGGGGCCGACACCCGACAGCTTCAGCAGGTACCGCGGGTGGTCGTACTTCTCAGTGCAGTTCCTGATAGCAGTAATCGCCATCTCATAGCCAGTTGCTCGCGGAGGGCCGCCGCGCCTACGGTAGTCCTTCTCGGCATGAAACTCTGACCAGGATGAGCAACCTGGCAATGGGAGGTACGGATGACAGCGAGTTACCTTGCACCCATTCCAGAAACAGTGGATTTGCACACTCCCCATCGCTAGAGTAGTGATCGTCCTCGTCAGAGTATTCGTAGCCGCGAGGCATGACGAGAGACCAGCGATGGGCGTTGAGAGCAACCAGTGACGCGCGTCGGCCGACGCGTCGCGACGCGCCGCGACCCTCGGTGTTCGCGAGGCGTTCGCCACAACTCCCATGGATCGCGCCTGGGGCATCGAAAGCTTGTCTCTTGGTATTGCTGGTATCATTACGGTAATGGGTACAGGTAGTGTATGAGGGTCACATGGTTCTACAATTAGCGTAAATCGAGCACCGAGTCGGTGGGCGTGCGTGCTACGACTTCAATTTCTGGCTTCTCTGATTCTGTTTCTTGCAGATTGACTCTGCTATAGCTCGCCCCAGGTATTTGTGAAGACTCCATACGTCGGATATCAGAAGAACTCGCGCTTCTTGCCACGTTGAGCGCAATCGTCACGGAGACAGGCTGTGCTGAGTCGCACAGCGGTAGGTCGTGAATGCAGTGCCTGTCGCAGTAGGAGCGCTCGAGTGCGACCAGTATGATGATAAGTGTCGGATAGATGGACTGGAGACCATATCAGCACGACAGAGGAAAGAGTAGGCACGAGTGAAGCGGGACTCGCCGTGAGCTGCGCTAACGCTACATTCAGGTGATCCACAAGATGAAGTCCGGGAACACCGTCAGTGGGTATTGGGGCAAGGTTGGCGATGATATAGAGCACCTGACGTTTTCAAGAGTATGTCAGCCGCAGAAGCTTCAAGATGAATCATGCACATACCCATACGACGCAGTATAGCGCTCCCGATTCCACCAACAGCCCGACGACGCGTTCAGCCATTGTACGCGACACTCCGTGACGGAAACGTTCAACAATCTGCCTTCTGTACCTCCTGAAGGCGTGCTATCAGATCTTGATCGGGGCCACATTGCTGTGCTGTTAACTCACCAGGCTTTGTTCCCCACGAGGCAGGTAGCTACGATGTTCGAGCCCAGCGACGCAGCGAGAGCCAGTAAGCCAAAGAAGTCGCCGCTTTGTATCCCTGTCGTCAGGGATTCGGCGAAGTAGTTCGGTGTGAACATGTTCTGTAGCTTAGACTGATCGACCTTCAAGATGGAGACCAGATTTGTAATCGTCAAAGCTGGAGAGTCGATGTCAGCCACACACATTAAGGTACCACAAGAAGTTATCGCTTACCTATCGTGAGACCCAACATGGCTATCGCTGTGATGACAACGTCCGGGCGCCGTCCCTTCTCCCACAGTACCACTACTCGCCATAGAACAATGGCATCAGACATGACGATCTGAGAAGTCGAGAAGGATAAGTAGAAGATACATGGCGAGCGGGATGGTACGTACGTTCATCGACAGCAAGACTACGGGTGCTATATGATGAAAGCTCCCAATTAGGGTGAACGGGGCCTCATCCATGATGGCCGCATCCGTATCGCGGTCCATGAGAGCATGCGCAGAACAGAAGGTCGTGATGCTGACGATCCAGTGTATGAGCGCTACGATGTACATGCAGGCTGCTAGAACGGTCTGTCCCGAATAGATGCGCAGAGTTTTGTTTCTACACGATGAGCATCAGTACTTGACGAACAGGAAGACTACCCACACATACTGCTGCAATGCGTACCATGCCATTAGTGCCAACGTTGTCGAGATCGCGAACAGGACTGTCTCCGTCACAAGTGGAAAGAGCGAATCTAAGACGAAGATCTCAAGTTTCATCGGAGGCGGCATAGAGTCACTGGCGCGATCGCGGGAATGTCCACCGTCATCGAAGATACTGTAAGCCATCTGGCGTGAGCATGAGCGCCAACGCGACCATCCTTACACTCACTTTCCCAGTAACAACTCGCGAATCGAATGCTGCTCCAGTACCCAATGTGTTACGAGAACACCGTACGCGCAGAGAGCTCCTAACACTTGTAGAGCAAGACAGCGAGTCCAATGCCGGGACACTCTAGAGTGGTTGAGAAATTCTGTGACGCAGATGCACGGATAGAGAGCTTACATTAGAGCATATAGCCCCAGAAACAGAGCGATGGAAATTACACCTACCAATCGATCAGCGGAGATCAATGATCCGGATAGTCCCACGTACCGAGCGCAAAGCTTTCGAGGATGAAGGGAGGCGCCATGGAAGATATGCCAAATCGAAAGGACACGAGGGCGTGCTACGCATGAGTTCCATTGAGAGAAGAATTAGTAGACATCAACGTAGAATAGGATGGCGACACTTGCATGATTCGAGGCCGAGAACATATGTACTCGCGAGCCATGCGCACTCCACACTCATCTTGATCATCATCATGGCATCCATACAATAGCCTCCCACTCTGAGCTCATGACTGCGAGGCATGTCCCACGCGAAGCCTCTACGGAGAGATGGGCGGAGATCGCTTCAGCATCATCGAATACGCACTGCTGGCCATCTTGAGACGAGTGAGAAATCTGTGGAAACGCCGGTGCACCTCCCCGCAACCTATGAGACACAGGAGGATTAGCAGGCAGATCCAGCTGAATATAATCAGGAAGCTGTTCGCCATGTGCTTCAGCATAGCATCATATACGATGAGTCCTAAGGACGGGACAAGCGAGCGACGAACGAATGCCGCTGGTTCCAGATCTCGACCAGCACTCTCCCACACTTCGACTTTCCATGCGGCCGAGAGAGACCTGCGTGTAGTATGCGGGAGATGATCAGTATGAACTGATCGCAAGCTCTCCGTAAAAGATTATGCCGATCTGTAAAGGAAAATGCGGAGACGTGTCGGACAATCATGCGAGCTTGAATCGTATGGCAAATCAGAATGGCGGGAGAAGGTGCGGTCAGGTTTTGAGTCAGTATGCACAGGTTCACGCCGGTAGAACCAATGTTACGAGACGGATGGAGTCTCCATACGCTGTGTATGGATATTCGCGCGTGACTGACGCCAGCGCTTTCGGGCCCGGCGCGTCCTTGGTTCGAGCAGGCGAGCGGAGGCATCAACTTTTGATATTACCGAGGCTCATGAAGATATAATTCGTTTACAAAAGAACAAGATTGCCTTCGAGTTCTCTCTCCGGACGCGATCCTAAAGATAGTGAGACGTGGAACATGATGCGCAGGAGGTGCACAGCGTACACACCAACAATGCCCCAAAGATCTACATACGCCCCACAACCCGCGCACACACGCTCCCACAGCGCATGAGCCATAGCACGAGCGGTTTACACCTGATCCTCACAGCAGAGGTACCATCGTGGTGGGAGGCAAAACGCAAGACGCGCGAAGACAGGCGAAGACGCGCGCGCGCTGCAAGCCGACGGAGTTGGGCGGACCGGGGCGCCGATACCTGCGCGCGCGGTCACATGAGTTCTTCCGCCTCCAGTCCTACGGATACTGACGTGGTGCGCGAGTGGCATGGGCCGCCTCGTTCAGAGTGTTTAGACTCAGCTGGCTGCCAAGTCGGTTACTTCGAGTGGTGATATACATAGCAACGTGTTGAAACTACAAATACAGAGGGATAACACTAACGAAAGCGAGGTGTTGAAACCTATCAACAAACACGGTAGACAGCATTCACAAGACAACGAGATCATATAGATGCAGACAAACCGTCAAGCACTACGCAGGCACAGCAATAACCTTTTGCACGCCCAGCACCTGCGTCAAGCCCGCACCATGGTGCACGCGCGTCACCCTCCACCCCGCCTTGGCCAGTAAATCGCGGAACTGCGCGACTGTGCGCTCGGTGCCGTTAAACATAGACAGCATCTACGACACTCTTGTCAGCTTTCACTGAGCCTCATGCAGGCGTGGATTAGACGAACCATGATATCAGCCGCGTAGCTCATCGTGTCTAGCGCAGGTAACAACGGCGCCGGCGGCTTCTCGCGCGCAGAACCTGGTATAGCCGCGTTGTTGTCATCGTCGGCGAGGTACTGCAGCAGACTGTCGACAATGACGAGTTCTGTGTCTGGCTTTGCTGCGTCGCGGAGCGGTTTGAGGATCTTAAGAGCGTATTCGTCGCTCCAGTCGTGAAGAACGGCTCCGAGGATGAAGACGCGGGCGCTCTTCTGCGGTTGAGGGGCGAAGAAGTCGTGTGCTACCAAGGGTGTCAGGTTGGTGCATGTATACTCTTGGGATGAGCATACCTTGTAAGGTGACGCGCCCGGACGAGACAGCATCAGGCATATTCGACCAGAACTATGGGCATGTGTCAGTCTTATGCCCAACCGATTGTGCTGCGAATGCCGTACCTGCTCAGCAGCCTTAACAACAGGCTCCCTATCCTGCACAACAATCTTCAACCCAGGACACCTCTCAAAAACCTTCTTACTCTGCGTCCCAACTCCGCCTCCAACATCGACGACAACAGCACCCTCCGGAAGCTTCTCCCACTCGTACCCCCTCAAGATCGCGTCGGGCGGCGCGATGCGCTTGCCAGCTTCCATGCCCTTCGTGACACGAGCCAAGGAGGTCTTCTTCTCTGGAAGCTCCAGCCAGTCCCAGGTCGACAGATCTGTGCGGAATGCGGCGTTAAAGGCTGTTTTGTTGGATTCGCCTGAAGAGGTGAGCTTTGGGTCGAGGAGGACGTCGGGGAGGTATGTGAGAGCTTTGGACTGCTCGCCGGCGCAGAGCTCTACTAGTGCTGCGAGTCCAAAGGTATCGTCGTGCTTCGTAGCAGGACTGTATTGCGCGTCAGCACGCCGTCGAGACAGGGTGTGTACAGGAAGTATACCTCTGACTTAAGGCCGCGGTGCTTTTGCCCGTATCAAGGAGTGAGCTGGCCGTGTTATGCGCAAAGACATCCGGTGCCGTCTCGACAAAGATGTGATTGAGCGCGAGCACGCGCATGACACGGGCTACATACGAGGTATCAGAGTCCGCGTAGCGCGTAGAGGACATATGCTGCTCACCAAGTTTGCCAGCGTCGACGCCCTTCGCCTTCGCAAGCTCCCTCACATGCGCGCCTTGCGCACCCGCCTCACGCAGAGCTTCAGCAACATTAGCCTCCGCAACAGTAGCGATGCAGCTCGCGAGAACAGGACCGAACATAGCAGCGCGAATGAGCGTATTCATCGGGCCGCCGAGTATCGCGAGCAGCTGCGTGGCCGCTGCGCAACCGACGGCGCTGGCGGCTGCGACGTCGGGAGCCATGCGGACGGACTCGGACGCCATTGAGAAGGCGCCGCGGGTTGAGGGGAAGGTTTTGCCGGTGTTGGATAGTATGCCGCTGATCTTCTCGATGGAGTCTTGGATGAGGGCGGAGAGCGCGCGGAGCTCGTCAAGGCCGTCTGATGAAGGTTTGGCGTTAGAGTGCAAGGTTAGCAATGTAGCTTCTCTGGGGATGGGACTACCTCACCGGTCATGCTGCTTGACAGTAAGCCTGTGGGTGAGGGTGGCAGCGTAAGCTGGTAGCAACCCCTGATCAGTGCAAGCCATTATATAGAAGTAGTGATTGCCCCAACGAGAGAGGGGTGGCATGTGCTTTTATAGCCAAGCTTGACCACGCGCCGTAACTAGGTGTAGGAATAGGAACGCGGACAGACCGATTCAATACTCTTTGAAGTCGGCGCTGACGCGATCTTATCAGATTGGCTGGGATCTGCGGGGCCGAAGCCATCTCGTGCGTTGGCAGGCATACGTCGGCGCACGGCAGAGGTGCCGCCGGCAACATGCGCGCGACATCGGGACGCGGGCTTCCCAGCACTGAGCCAGAGTTTTAGGTTGACAGATGGAAGCAAGCCCTCAGATACTCGAGGCATATTCGGAAGTAGACATTGTGCGTCCGAAATTGTATTCATCGGCCGTGGAGATCATCTCCGGCGACGTTGACCGTACTGCGAACGCGCAGTACACAGCTCAGCCTTCGATTTCTTGCACTGTACAAGTTTATTACCTGCGCAGTATACATAGCTGAGAGCGACAGAACCGAACATGGAAGCCAGGGCCAAGACGCGGTGCAGGAAGCGATGACGCACCGCCCGTTGCCCACAATTGATGGCACACAGCTTTCGGATTGGCTTTTGGGCAGACTCGCAACGCTGCGCTGAGCGCAACAAGCGCTCGATTCGAACACGACCACCACGACCGGCGGCTCGACTACTGCTCGAGCTCGCCTTTACCACTCACTCCTATCTGAACTCTTGCTTACGACTGTACAAAGCGATCTCGAAGTCCCTCTGATTCATTGGCTCTCAAAGCTCTTGCGATGTCTCAGTATCCGTACGACCAAGTATGTGCTCTTGATCCTACTAAACGTCACTTCAGATTTATAATGATATATTCAGGCGGACGAAGCCCAGCACGGGCACTACAACGACGGCCACGCACCCTACAACACTCAATCCCACTACGACCCGTACGGATATGGCCATACACCACCTCCAGCCCAGCAACAGCAGCACGACCCCTTCGTCGACCCGTACTCGAACGTGCCGCCTCCGCCCGCCCAAGGCCATCAAATGTCCACATATTACCCCTCGGTACCTGCGTCCGATCCGTACCAGCAACAACCCTATCCGCCAGTCCACTCGCCGCCTATCCAGCCGTACCCGCCCGTGCACTCGCCACCGCCGGCAGACCCCTACGGTCACCTGTCGCCACCACAACACAATGCGCCCCTTGGACAGCCCTACGAGATGCAGAGGCCGGACTCCTATGGTCAATCATACGAGACGCACGAGCACGACGACGACGGGCTGGGAGATGCCGGCGAGCTGCCGCTCCTGCGCGCACCGAGCGCACATCCGTCGTTCGCGCTCCAGGATCCTGGCGTGATGCCTGTACCTGGTGGAGGGTACGAGCCGAATATGCCTGTAGCGGGGTACGAGCCTAGTATGCCGGGCGGCTACGACGAGGAGGAGACGAATATCCGCTACGGCCGTATCCCGCAGCGCGTGCCGCGTCGGTACAAGACGATCAAGAAGGTCGAGCTGTTCCACGGCAACTTCGTGCTCGACTCGGCTGTGCCCACCAAGCTGCTCAACTTGTGCGCTCAGAAGAACGAGCGCGAGTTTACGCATATGCGGTATAGCGCTGCTACTTGCGATCCGAACGACTTCAAGGACTCGGGCTTCACGTTGCGTCAAGTCCACTACGACCCCCCGCGGAGAACGGAGTTGTTCATCGTGTTGACGATGTACAACGAGGATGACTCGCTGTTCACGCGGACGATGCACGGTGTTATGAAGAACATCCAACACTGTGAGCTTGCTTGTCTCTATCTCCGCAGCGTCTTGAGATGCTCACGCATTCAACAGTGTGTACGCGTGACCGCTCAAAGACGTGGGGCAAGGACGGATGGAAGAAGGTGGTGGTCTGTATTGTTAGCGACGGCCGCTCGAAGATAAACTCGCGCACGCTCTCGGTCGTAGCGACGATCGGCGCCTACCAGGACGGTATCGCCAAGTCCGTCGTGAACAACAAACCCGTGGCCGCCCACATCTACGAGTACACGACGCAGAGTGAGCCAACTCTCCCATCAGCCTAGCCTATGACAGCCAGAGCTGACTACGCCTCCTCAGTTTCCGTTACACCGTCCAACAAGATCGAAGGCGCGGAGAAGGGGCTGGTACCCGTGCAAGTCATCTTCTGCCTGAAGGAGAAGAACCAGAAGAAGATCAACTCACATCGATGGTTCTTCAATGCGTTCGGCCCGATCCTGCAGCCGAATGTCTGCATCTTGCTCGATGTGGGTACCATGCCGGGGCCTACGAGCATCTACCATTTGTGGAAGGCGTTCGATATCAACTCGAATGTCGGCGGCGCGTGCGGTGAGATCGTCGCGCTCAAGGGGAAGTGGGGTGAGTGCGCTCTCCTGGCTTTGCCTATATCGATCTGATCGTGAGCATCATATAGGTCAACTCTTGCTTAACCCGCTCGTCGCGGCGCAGAACTTCGAGTACAAGATGTCGAACATTCTCGACAAGCCGCTCGAGTCCGTCTTCGGATATATCACCGTGCTTCCTGGCGCCTTCTCCGCGTACCGCTACATTGCGCTTCAGAACGACGCCAAGGGCGAAGGCCCACTGCAGAAGTACTTCCTCGGCGAGACCATGGTGAGTCATAGTACGTCTGTTGGCTGCATCGATCTGACGGACTGCTTAGCACGGCGCTGGTGCCGATATCTTCACGGCGAACATGTATCTTGCTGAGGATCGTATCTTGTGTTGGGAGCTCGTCAGCAAGCGCGGAGGCGCATGGCTCTTGCACTACGTCAAGTAAGTCAATCATACCTCACGTCCGAGGACATTTGCTGACTCTTGATACCAGATCTGCCTATGCTGTGACGGATACGCCAGATCAGGTTCCCGAGCTAGTCTCGCAGCGCCGTCGCTGGCTCAACGGTTCCTTCTTCGCCGCCATCCACTCGACCTTCAAGTTCCACTACATCTACCGGTCATCACACAGCTTCGCCCGCAAGTTCTGGATCCACGTCGAGCTGGTGTACCAGACGTTCAACTTGATATTCTCCTGGTTCGCCTTGGTGTGTAGAGCCGCTTCAACTTTGATCCTATTGTGTAGCTGACCGATTGGCTTCTTCACAGGGCAACTTCCTCATATCGTTCTTCATCCTTACCAACGCGCTGGAGGATCCGACGATCATTGGCGGGAACGCTATCAAAGTTATCAACACGATCCTGGAATACGCTTACGTCGGCCTGCTCTTGACATGCTTCATGCTGTCCCTCGGCAATCGTCCTCAGGGCTCTAAATGGGGATATACTACTGCGTTCATTGGCTTCGCTTTGCTTACGGCGTACATGACGTTCGCGGCAATATTTCTGTGAGTTTTCTTTTGCTTATTTCGAGCTGTTGAGCATCGCTGACAACTGTGGGACAGGGCCGTGAAGTCTGTACAGAGCGTCGCAAAAGAGAACGGCAAGAGTTTGGACGCTGGCGACTTCTTCACGAATACGATCTTCCGCGACGTTGTCTTGTCTATGGCGGCGACAATCGGGCTGTATGTCTTCGCGTCGCTCATTCACGTACGTCATCTGCGCCGCTCTCCTGAATATTTGCACTGATAATTTTCTACAGCTCGAGCCATGGCATATGATAACGTCCTTCCTCCAATACACGCTCATCGCGCCGTCATACATCAACATCGTACGTGCAATCGCTCTGAACGCCCCATCCCGTGGTACTAACATCCTACAACTCCGCTAGTTGAATGTTTACGCGTTTGCCAACGTGCACGACGTCTCCTGGGGTACCAAAGGCGACAACAAAGTCAGCACCGACCTCGGCGTAGTCAAGACCTCGACAGACTCGAAAACAGTCGAAGTCGTCGTCCCGACCGCGGAAACGGACATCAACGCCGCGTACGAGGACGCGATCCACGTCCTGAGCACCAAGCCGCCCAAAGAGGAAAAGAAGTCCGACCCGGCGCAGGAGCAGGAGGACTACTACCGCACGTTCCGCACGAACGTCCTGATGGCCTGGGTGCTCTCGAACTCGCTGCTCGTCGCGATCATCCTCACCGCCACCGGGAGCGCGGAGGATAAGGGCGCGAGCAGCACGGTGAATGGGTATCAGATCTTCATTCTGTATGCTGTTGTGCTTCTCGCTCGTACGTGTTTTTGCTTTTTCTAGACGATGGGCAGAGGGCTGATGGATGGTTTCATTATCAGTTGTGCGCTTCATTGGATCCACGGGGTACATCATCGTGCGCATGTTCGCCGGCGAGTAGACGCTCGTCGATCCCACGCTCCGACTTTTCTGCTGTGTGCTTTGGCCCTGCTGTCGCTTTGCTCCTGTTCGGACGTTCAACACGGACTTGAAAGACCGTGTGCTGTATCAATGTCGCGTGTGTACTCACTGACTGCTTGCTGTTATGCATCATTGATGACCCGTATGCTTCACTGCTCGAATGAATACATTTCCTGCCGTCAAGGCCCGCGCGACCTACACGACTGCACATAAGTTACTCACCGCAGTCAGTGTTCAGCATACCTATGGACCTCTCTGACCGAGTCGATGCTGGCTGTCGACGCCGACGAGCACGGAAGTAACAATCCGCGATTACGCTTTGAACGCACAGCTCCATCACACTTTTCAGGGGTCTTGATTCCCATCAGCGAACAGGCTTGGCCGCTCGCCTCCATCCTACAACGCCGTCATCGCTCATATGGCCACGAGTACTCCTGACATATAGCGACCATGATCAGGAAGGCCGACTGCCTTTTCTCCGCCCGCTCGATATCACCTACAACTGTTTGCGGTGCTTGGGAATGACCCCCTTCCGACGACAACGCTGCCTCTGCTATGTGCTTCTTTGGCTGTCGGGTTCGTACCCGGGGGACGCACGCGCGCAGGATTTCAGTATACCATCGGGCTGGCAGGTGCGTGGCTACCTGATCCCTGGTCTGCATACGATTGACAGTAGTACTGCAGCGCACGTCTAATGATCTCAGTAGAGGTGAAAGGGAGACCATAGCGTCCTCCGCCGCTCAAACGCTCCTGGGCCATATCAATGCGACATCAGGTACACCATCCGGTGCGTGGCAGCGTTTTGTTGAACCTGTGCTTCACACTCACACATTGGTCTAGGCATTGATGCGGTCGTTGCTGCTCAATCGGTCTCTGTGTTGGCGTTCCAAGACATCTACAGCGGCAACGACTCCTATCGGCAAAATGTCATCAACGCGCTCGACATCTATGCAGCTCAAACGGTGGCCTACGGACGCCCGTACGAAATCATTCACTAGTCTCCTCGCTGACGGGCATTGACACGGGGTTTGTAGATACGGCGCATCAAACAAGAATACCTTGTACGCTCAGCTCGCGCTCATCGTTCTGTCGCGCGCCTCTGACAGTTTGCACCAGATACTGGGGTCTGGCCGCATCCTATGCCTACAAGGCGTACGCGAATGCTTCCTCCCTCGATCTCGCTGCCTCTAGTTGGAACTTTGTACACGCAGACCTGGTTACACCCGCGATGGCTCAAAGTGGCAGCCTTCCTCGAGCTGCGAGCCTTCACTCGAGCTGTGCCAGTACGTACTAAGAACTTGACCGCATATGATCTTGCGCTCATATATTGTGTTCCTAGCCGATCTCGCTGGTGGTCTGTTCACTGTATGTCTTTGATGTCGCAATGCTGCGCTCTATACTCACCGATATTTCGCCAGCAACACGCGAATCAGAGTGACAGCACTCTCAGCGCCGAGGCAAATGGGTGCGTTGCCTTCTCTTCATGTATGAGGACGCAACCTGACGTTCGGCGGGCGTGTTCAGCCTATTCATGTCGTGCGTGTCTTATAGGTCTAGTACCCACCCTTTGCTCGTCTAATCATGGCTCATAGGTTGAGTGCATATCTTTACAATGCGACGCACAATGAAACGTACCTCGATGCGGCGGAGCTCTCCGCTGTCTTCATTCAAACACATCTATACACCGATGGAGCAGTAGTCGGTGCTTTCGACGCGTTGAACTGTACAAGCGAAGGAACTCCGCTCAGCAGACCATGGTTCACGGGCCTGTACGTCGAGGGTCTCGCCGTATTGGCGAGTACTACCGGGAACGATACCTGGCATCAAGCGTGCGTCCTCAGCTATGGTTCTGATGTTGAGGGTCCATGAATGTCGATCCAAAGAACAGATTAGAGAACTCTGTGCCTTCCGCGGTAACGCACAACACTTGGTATCGAGCGGATGGCGTCCTGCAGGTTGAGCGTGCGTATACTTTGGCGTATGACCTTTCACTCTCCTGACATCCTTCTCAGCGAACCCATCCGACTTAACAGACTCCTCGAACATGCTGAAATGTGCGTTGGCCATAGGTATTGAAGGTTGACTAACACATATACTCGTAGGCGTACTCTTGCGTGGGGTCTTGACCGCCTGGGCGCTCAACCTGGGCACGCCGATGGCTTCGCTCATAGAGACCTTCATCACGATTCAGGTCTGTCTTTCACGTAGATGCTCTTCCACGTCACAATCAAGGTCATTGACGATGAACACAGTTCAATGCGGTGACAACCCTAGCTCGTTTACCAGGAGCCAGTCAGTATTCCTCCTCGTGGGTCGGCCCTGCGACTTCGTCTTTCGACACATTGGGTACCATCGCGGCTATGGATGTGTTGACCGCCGGGTTTGCGACGACCTCGAATGATACGCAGACAGCCGATTCGTGCGTCGGGATCGACTATTTCTCGCCTATGAAACACTGACGCCTATCGTTAGGGAACCACAGCCAAGTCGGCGGGTGAACATCGCGGCGATTGCTGGAGGCGTCGTTGGCGGCGTTGTAGGTTCCCTGGTTCTGGGTGCCTCTCTCTGGTTCTCCTGCCGGAGACGGTCACGACGCGCTTCTGTCGTGCCCGCAGTAAACCCAGTACCTGAGGATTCGTCGCCTACTCTAATCGAACCTTTCGTTGCTCGCCCGACGATCCCTCCATGGCGGCATCACTCAAAAGAGAAAACCTACGTTGGCGACTCCTCATCGTCACTCGCAGTGTTGCCTCCTACACGAGCGGAAAGCGACTCCCGCTCGCAATCCCGCGCCGAGTCTCCCGCAACCCCTGACTTGGCCACTGTAGCACGACAGGTTGACCGCATCGCTCAATTTTTGGACACATGGTCGCCTTCCAATCATATACAGCCCACCACGGACCTTTTACCCCCTCCTACCGCACCTCCTCAATATACACGGACAACCACCTCACGCTCTTGAAAGACATGTATTATATCATAAGCACTACAGTCCGACCTTATAATCATTGAGACCCCGGTCCGGGTTGCAGACGTCTAATTCTTGGACGCGAGTGTTCGCAACGCGACATCGTCGATGCTACAGGACAAGGGGCGCTGTGAGGGTCAGCGTACGCATGACGGGCGTAGACTTACTGTGGGAGAATGTCGGCCGATGCCGAACGCGAGCAGACATACAGCGCGAGCAGCGCCCATGGAGTTTGCTCTGACCGCCATCAGGCCGCTGCAGACACCTAACGACGATCCAAAGTAGACTGCCAGCACTATACACAAGACTTCCACCCATAGATCAAGGAGCGATCTCCTTCTCTAATAGCTCCAACGCCTTGTTCACGTCATCTAGCGGGTCGTTCCTTCCATGGGTCATCTCCCAACACCGCTGCATACGCTCGCCCAGCTCTGACAGCGGCACATTATCCTCTCCTGGTGTACGAAATGCGGATAGATAGCTGTTCTCCCGCGACATGTCTACGACGATCTTCGCGCCCGGCATGCGTATCTGTGAATAGATACTCAGAGCGCGTGCGACATTCTTGCGTGTGGTAGACGGGTGGCGGAGCAGCGGCGCGAGCACATATGCATCCTGAAGCGTTCTGAGTATACGCAATGCGTAGACCGCACGTTGAACTCACCTCCATCGCCTGTCCCGCCCCAGCACCTTGTAAAGGCGTCATGGCGTGTGCCTGCATATCTGTTCAGGCTGATTGGTTGCAGTCACCGTCGAGAGTACGTACCGCATCTCCAAGTAAAGCTACTTGGCCGTGTGCGAAGGTAGGCAAAGGTTTCACGACGTTGATAACCCACGAGCCTATACTGAGCCCTTGAATAGCCTTTTCAGGGATCAGCGCCGCATCTCGCACGGCAGGGCGACTGAATCAACCTTCATCAAGTCCGCCACTTCGGGCTCCCAGCCTTCAAACTTCTTTGCGACGTCTTCTGGTTCGGCCTTGGTCACCCATGGGCCCTCGTACTCCGTATCCTCTTGGTCGAAGCGGCACTCGAACATCGCTAGGTTGAGCAAGCGTCCCTTCGAGATAGGGTATGCGACCATATGCTATAATCGTGATCAGAGCTAACAAATAGGTTGGCAGAGCTCTTGCAGCGCACCTTATCCGTTCCCAAGTACTGCGTTATTCCGACTCGTCAGCTCCCTTTTTTGCCATCAATGACAACGAGACGCACCTGAACAGGCCCAGTCAACACTCGATGATTCGGGTTAATCGCGGCAAGCTTCTCCCGCGGTATAACAGTACGGTACGACACCGTTCCAGTGAACTTGGCGCGTATGTGGTCTTCAAGATCGGGGTTGCCCGTTTCCGCCGCCAGCGCCTTGTACATATTGGCCCGAGTGGCGCTTCGAAGGCCGTCCGAACCAATGACCACATCAGCCTCGGCCGTCGTGCCGTCCTCGAACAGCAATGTGAGAGGACCGTCGGGCGTGGAAGAGTAGGAGACGAGGCGCTTTGATGTGTGGGTGGCGTATTGCGAGGTTGACGCGAGCTTCTGCACGAGGATGTCGTAGAACTCGGCACGGTGTACGGCCGTCAATCCACCTATGGATCAAGATCAGCGAAGTCCAAGCCGGAGGCGGAGGAACTGGTACGCACCCTTTATACGCATCTGCTTGATATCCTCGCCTTCGGGCTGATTGGACTTTCTACATCTGAAAGCAGGAACTGGATGTACCGTCAGGACCTGAACATCTATGGCTGCGCCGTGACACACCGTATCCGTCTTGGAACGTCGAACCAAGCGCGGTAACTGCATCCTTCAAACCAAGGTCTGTCAAGACGCGCTGCGAGCGCCAGAACAACCCTATCCCAGCCCCGATCTCTGCTAGCTGCTTCGCCGCCTCGTATACGTCTACCCGAATGTCGTCTGCTTTCGACAGTGCGTATGCGAGAGTCAGCCCGCCAACGCCAGCGCCGCTATGAGGTCACATTAGCGCATGCTGCCATGGACGTCGGTCGACGTACACAATGGCAACACGGAGTCTAGGTTCAGGAGGCGTCGGGATTGAGTCCATTGTAGAGTGTTGTCGAGGGATAGTCTGTGGGCAGCGAGGGAAAGAGAACGAGGAAGATATGCGCGATACCCATCTCGAACGTGCAGATATATGCTCATGCGAGCTGCGGCTAGACGGCGACATCATGCTTATATTGCGGAGAGCTTATGGCAGCGGGGTCGAGATCTTTAACAGTTGTTCCGGGCGGCGAAGTTTATAGCATGTAAAGTGCGATCGAAGCGGTCTTCGCCAACGAAGTGCGAGGGACGCGGGTAGCGTACGGCCGCATGTCCTTGTGAATGATAGCATGGTTTTGAGGCAACTGTGATACGCTCGCACCAAGAGCTGCCAAAGAGGTAGCCGATTCGGAGAAGCATCCACCATTTCGGTTCTCTTTGCGGTGCAAGGGTAATTGGGTGCGCCGATCAACATCAGGGACGGACGATGGAGGAACCATTGTGGGGCTCCGTCATACCGGCGGTGAAGTGGTGTGGCCGGCCCATTCACCGGTAAACATGTGCCTACTTACAATTGCTTTACCTTGAGTAAGCTCAAGGCAACAAGAGTACTCTTCGATCTCCCGTACCTCGCACTCCAACCTCTCGCCCGCCGATAAGACATTCTTGTGCACAAGGCTGCGCCTTCATCAAAGCTGTTTCAAGGACGACGAGCAAGCCCGCTCCGACCGCGTCAGCAGTGATCCCGTTCTCTGCGCACATGTTGCAGCTCGAGGACATGCGGCTGCCACGCACCGGACGCCGTATGCGAATGTCCGTTCGTATCGCGCAAGCGGAGTCGGACTCGTGTAGTGAAGAAGGCCGGACGGACGGAGTGTAGACTTCTGTTCTCGCGACGAAGATCTGTATTGAGCAAGCGCGCGTAGAAGGAGGAGCGCTCGACAAAGAACCCGAGATACGTACACGAGACCAACCTGACTATAAAGAAGAGGAGAGGTGCTAGATAAGGGCACCAATGCACGACACAACGCAGTCATTCAGTAGACGCGAAGCTTCCAGGTAAAGTTGAATAGGTGTACGAGGATAAACAGCGCGATGCTTGCCGTAGAAAAGAACCTTGGGTTCGTACAACCAGCCACCATCCGGGAGAGTGATTGTCCGTATGGCACATAAACGTGAACACATCGGGGAAGCTGAGTCCGGTCTTGCACAGCAGAGAGTGAAGGGAGAATGGAAGAGTACAATCAACCGGACAGTGTACAGGTGATCAGAACGGGCGGTCGAGCGCGTATTGGATTCAGCAGAAGAGATCCACTGTACGTCTACCATCTGGAACCGCCGCTTGCCACTCGCATACCGGCAGTATTCGTCCGTCCAAGGCCGCCGCACTCTTCGCACGTAACCTCGTCGAAGATCATGAACGAATGCCAACCGCGCCCGTGGCAGCGCCAACACAGCCGTCCTCCTAGCCGCGGATCGCCGGCGCGCATGGTCATAGTCCCTGGAGGTGCCCGTGCACCTGGTGCCAGCGTGACGACGCGAGAGAGGCCTCCGCCTGGCGAAGGAGGTGCTGGCGAACGCGATGATGCCGAAGTCGATACTGCGCGCCGATGCTCGGGATTTCCTGGGCGTGGTGAGCTGCTGCTGCTCGTGCTGGCGGAAGTAGGAGCGCGGGATGGTGGTGCAATAGCTGGAGTTCCGCGTGGAGAGGTGAAGTTTGGAAGGGGCCGTTGGTATCGACTTCCAGCTTGACCCCATGGTGCTAATGCGAGAAGCTGCGAGAAGACCTTGGAATACCGACGCCAGCAGCGCTTACAGGGGTGAGATGGGTCTATCGAAAAGTCAGCATTAAGTTGACTCATCACGAGACGGCAAAGAATGAAGCGGAGTATAGAGCATTGCTCTCGTGTACGCAGTCATCGCTTCCTCTCGAAGAGAGAAGGCCACACAGAATAGCGACTATGTGAGAGGGCTATCCAGAGGAGAGATATGATAACGAGTGGAGAGTACGCACCGTAGTTCCTATAACCAGTGTTACGACCTATGAGGACAATCAGTATCAGGGGCTTGAGAGACGGTATGGCGTAAGGAAGTCGGCAAGAGAGGAACACGCACATCTATCACAAACGTAGCCCTCCGGATACTCCAGTGTGTGTCCCGAGTTCAGCAACGGCCTTCCAGGCGTCGGTGTTGTGGTTGGCGTCGCCTCAGCCGTGGCGCGCACGTTCTGTCCACCACTGCCACCCGACCTCCCACCTCGTCCACCGCCCGACGCTCCTCCTCCTCGACCAGCACTTCCAGCGCCGCTCCCGCTCGCCCCTCCTCTTCCAGAGCTACTCGCGTTCGCGCTCGTAGGCGCGCGTGCAGGTGGTGGGCCTGGTGGCGGAGCGTATCGAGGTTGAGAGCTACCTTCTCCGCTGCCAGTCGAAGGACGACCAGCGCCTGCCGCGTAAAAGTCTCGAGCAAAGTCGCTCAGGTTCTCCCGAGCTGGCGATGTAGCGGATGTAGACGCGCTCCGTGGTCGAGCCGGCGCCGGCACGTCAAGTGTGGGTTGCCAACTTGGTCGATTGGTACCAAGCTGGGTGTCGATGGACGGGCCGACATGTGGACGCGCGCGCCGTGCTTCGTTCTCATTCTGCCTTGACGGTTGATTCCAGGTCGGCTGTGTATTGAGCGAAACGGATGACTGCGAAGCTGAGAGAGCGGTCGATGCGGGCTGTGGTGGTGCGCGCTGAAACGGTCTTCGCGGCCCAAGATCAATCGTTTCCTCGCCGGCGCGCGTATTTGCGGTGGATGTGTAAGACGGTGGGAGATCGTCAGGCGCATGCGGTACATTCTGTAACTCGGGCGGCAGGACAATCTGCGGGCCAGAAGGCGGCGATCCCGGAGGCGGTCCTAAGCTGTCCTGTCGCGCAGGCTGATTTATAGCTGCTGTGCGGCCAGGAGGCGGACCGGGTGGTGGCGCGTACGCGGTCCGGTTAGGCGGAGGGCCAGGAGGTGGTGCGTATTCAGACTGTTGGGCTGCACTCTCGCGGCGAGCGGGTAGAGGTGGAGCGCTCGAACTTGTAGGCGATGTAGCGGGTTGTGAGCCAGTTGTATTTGTACGGGCTGGCAATGGCGGTGGTCCAGTTGGAGATCTCGATTGAGATGGAGACCCTGAGTCCAACGCCGGAGTAGGCTCGGGATGAGCGTCGTCGTCTGAATCGTCGTCTGAAGCCCCGTCGTCCCAAGGTCGCGGGAACTCAGCGTTGTTCTCGGATGCCTGAGAGTGAGCCGTGAGGTTATTCATGGATTGGGTGAGGTTGAGAGGTTGATGCCCGTGTTCGAGAGGAGATAGGAATGGATTATTTGAGCCGGTGGTTTGCACGGAGATGCCAGTATTCTGGGCGGAGACGGCCGGAGAGCGGAAAGGATTGTGCGACGACATTTGAGCCGTCAAATGTTGTACGTCCGGGTTGCTCATCGCAAGGTGAGAGGAGGAGACAAGGGCCAACGAAGTGTGGCTGGGCTGGGAAAGACGTAGACTAACGCGCACAGCTTCGCGCAAGCGGATTGTGAAGCAGGAGTATTATAAAGCGATGTTCTATTTCAGTCTTTTCCTACGACAGGTGTTCACGAGTCCAGTTGATTCGATCTTAGATCAGGTAGATGGCGGTAAGCGGCAAGTTCGGGTGAGAGATAGGATGCTCGGATGTCTCACTTGCGCGTCATCCCCGCGACGCGGTCATGTTGCCTTTTGCCTCTGACCGTCATGGACGCGTCTTCTACGCTCAGCTCGTGGAATATATACCATTCATGACCATTGACTTCACTCTGGATCAACACCTGGTTCTCTCTACATAGCCGCGCTACCGTGTCTACTTGTCCTATCCGACGCCACCTGCTGCCCGTCCAACTTCAACGATGCCAAACGCTCACTCGCCACCTCTCTCTTCCTTCGCCTATCGTTCACTCGCACAAACGCGATGGTTGCAAAGCTCCTGATGATACAGCTCAAGTCGTAGAGCGTGGCGCTTGCTCCCAGCGGAAGGACGCCAACTTGTTCCTCGATCAACTACCTTATGCTTGCCTTTCGCGACAACAAGCCCGAATCAACTATCACCACTGCAAACAGTACCGAGAACGTCTTACGCGTGGTGCACGCAGCAAGAGAGGCCGCGTACGGACGCTTTGCGCATCGCCTTTCAGACGCGCGCGGTCTTCGCCGCAGGATCATATGCGCGTCGGACCTATCAGCTCGTACAAGGCGCACGCCACGCTCGACGTGCTTGCAGCTGGCCGTCGCAATCGATTCACGGATTCTCTATCTTCTCGCGCGTTCTTGCGACCTTTCCGCCCCTCCGCTCAGGCGAGGTCCCCCGCCCTCGGCGTCAGCTCGGTTACATACGCACATCCTGAACCGGACGAGGATGTGTACTTTGGCGCGGCTCCCGTACTTAAAGACTGGGTACCCGTCAACCACACAATATGCGCGCTCAGGGCGTTCTCAGTTGAGATGTGCAACATCTAGCGACCTCGTCATGTCACGGTCATAGACGAGATTTGAATGATCTTCGATTTTGGACGCGGTCACTGGTGGACGATAGCCGTACTAGGTGTACCGGCTGGGAGGGGAGATTTATGTGGACGAGGAGCTCGCGGTGCCTCCCGTTCAGGCCTTGCTCTGCGATACCGGTGTTACTCAGCCCATAAGAGCGCCCGAGCGCTCTGAACGTCGTAAACGAGTCTCATGGGGGCCTCTCGTGCGCGCATCGAGCGTGCAGAAGGGTGGATGTGTGGTGGACTCGCTGTGAAGGCGGAAAACGAACGGCGCACCTAGCCGCGCTGCAGTGTCGCGTACGGACAAACAGCCACTTGAAGCTCGCAGCAGAAGAGCGGTCTTGACAACGATTCCGGCTCGGGATACGGCGTCTTCTTCGGCAACAACATATTCAGCGCGGGTCTCAGCCTCAAGATCGACCGAGTCGTTTTCGCAGAAGCTGCCGCCAAATGCAACAGCGCCTCCGGGAGGCACGAATACCTTTCGTCGAGCGTGATCAAGCTCATCGGAGGGCGAGACGGTTCGGTTCGCTTGGAAAGGGTAGTACAGATGTTGGCGTAGTCACTGAGGTTAAGGAGGAGGATCTGCTGCTTGTTCGTTGCATTGTGAGTACGATCTGTCCACCAGCCCGCTCTCGCATGCTTACGTCGACCCCTGCCGATCAGTCATTTTGCGCGCCTCCTGCGCGCGCTACTCGGCGGAAGACCTGTCTTGGTACAGGTGCTGTCATCGTTATGGACAAGTCCACCGACCTCGTTGCTGCCATTGCCCGTTTCGCACACGTACGTTCGGTGCCTATCGCGTATTCGCCCCTAGCCGCTGACATCGTTTTCCTTTATAGTCCTACAAGTACGAGTGGTGTGGCCAGTGCACGCCCTGTCGCACCTGGATGATGGACATGGTGGACAGGTTCAAGGAAGGCCGGTGCGTCTATTCGCCTTCCCTTCTCTCTTCCCTCTTCGCAACTCACATCTCACCTACACAGCGGACACCCACGCGAATTCGACATGCTCCTCTCTCCGAACAACTTGGAGGGCCGCACAATCTGCGCCCTCGGCGACGCAGCAGGCTGGCTCATCCAAGGCCTCACACGCCACTTCCGCCCGCCCGTCGAGGACCGCATCTCCCAGTTTCGCACCACCAACGGACCCGTCATGCTCGGTGGGTGGCTCACGGCGGATGTGGACCCCTGGCTGGCGTTGCCGAATAATCGGTGCGAATATGAGAGAGGGAGCGTCGCTGCCGTCGTTGTAGTTTGGTAGAGTAGGATGTGGAGCTTAGGGTTAATGTAGTTCATTTCTTTGCTTTGCTCGCCGGTCGGGGCGTGGTGCTTGCGGTGTTGGAACAGGTAGAGACGTGATGATGCGGTTTGTAGCCCTCGCATCGCTTATTTTTCGCGCTCGCGCTCTGCGAGGTCGACGTCCTTGTGTACGGATCCAGCCAGGTTGTATATCAGTGTGCCGAGCGTCCTGACATCTCCGCTACATGCGTCACGCTTTATCCTCACGCGCGCCATCGAGTCCAAGCCAGAGGACGATGCCGGCAGTCTGCGTACGAAATCACAGTTGTATCTATTGCTCAAAGTGCCCACACATCCGCGCGTATGTCTTCGTACACTGCTCATCCGCGTTGTGGCGCGTGCCGCTCTCAAAGAGCTTGACGATTACGCGGACGAGAGCGCAATCGCCGAGATTCGATTCGATTCGTACAGTATTCATCGTGGCTATGCCGTGTGTTCATGGGCTTTTGATAGTGTAGAATTGAAGGGCTAGTGCTACATAGTGGTAGACACGGAGTTGGAATATGTGCGGTGTAGAGGAAGTGGGGAGGGGAAAGATCGACATCGTAAGGGTTTCCATCGCGCTCTTGCGCATAATCTAGTTCAAATTAGAGCAGGTATATATTCCGAGCGTATACGGGTATGGACTTTCGATAATCCATAGACGCATGCCTCACCGAGGCAGACTCGTCGCTCAGCATCTCCAGTTAAGAAGTCGGCCCTTCGTTGACTGCAACGGACAATATCTCTGGCGCGCGCGACCCGCGTATTCGCTGGGAGCAGTTGAAGGGTGTCTAAGGTAGGTGATGGTGTAAGCGTGGTGAGCGTTCGAGACAAGCTAGCTCAAGCGCAGGTACGCGGTCGCGCGGAGTCCGAGGCGCGGGTTCGTCCACGACCACCATCTCCGTCACAGCTGCCCTCACTTTCTACGCCCCTCCTACTGTTTCACCTTCCAACAATCATCGACTCAGCTCTCGACAAATATGACACGAACTATTCTTGCCCGGCCGCAAACCTCTCGTGCGCCGTCCATGTGAAACGGCATTCGCCCGCGCCCGACTCTGGTTCTTCTACAGACCACCACCTCAGCGCCTGCCTGGACATGGCGTGCCTGCGCGCTACAGCAACACAACTCGGCGGACTCATATGCTGTGTCTTATGGTCGAGCTCAAGCCTATAACTACGGACACCGCGTAACGGCTTCGACTTCATTGCCAGTCGCCCGCTCGGGCTCTGACACGTATGTATTTTTCCGTCCCATTCAACCGGTCACCATTTGCTCACGGATGAATAGCAACTCGCGAGGCGTAGCTGTATTGCTTGCAACCAACACTAACTTAAAAGTAGCGGCCGAGGGGGGCCTCGGGTCGCATAATCGTTCAAAAGTGCCTAATGAGTACATCACTAGGACCGGAATTACCAGGAGATCACTGCCTTAATCTCCGTTTTACCCAATTCTGTACGGTACTGGCTCGGCACTGTGATCTTGGCTAAATATGGCTCGTTTTTGCATAATCGTAATTATGTACTGTTTCCTGGCAGATATTAATATATGTTAAATCAGAATCAAATTCAGCACGTCTTTTAACCCCTACTCACAAAAAGAACGGTATCAATACCTACAGTATAGGCCCCGGCTCACCGGCCTCCCACACCCCTGCCCAGCCCAAATACCAGTCCGAAGCCTGTATCAGTACCAGGATGACAATTATGCGTACTTCTGAGCTCATAGGCTTGTAGAGCTCATCAATACGGTCCTTTCCATATATAGAAACCCTTGCATAACTGTCTTTAAAGTACTCCCCACAGGCCTATTAGTATATTCATTGACTTAGAGTGTCTAGGGCCGGCTATTGTACCGAATGACCTGGGGATGTACTGGGATACACTCAGGAGACCTGGGGGAGCATGATAGTAGTGGTCCCCAGGTGGGAGACCAAGCGGTTCCAAAGATATGGTATGATAGAGAGTGGGGGGGCAGCAGACCTTGAGCGTGGGAAGATCTGGAAATTATTGCATATCATGATCTTATCATGTCCAAGAGACTCTCACAACCATGTATCACATTTGGAATTACATATACAGGACAGATTTATAAAGAGATATGGGATATAGAAAAATCTAATTAAATTTGCAAAATAATCCTCATCATGCAAACCACGCTTGTCATGCTCATGGCCATGACATCATGGAGTCTCATGCTCTTTACCATGCTCGTCATGCTCATGCTCTTTACCACGCTTGTCATGCTCATGGCCATGACATCATGGAGTCATGCTAAGGAGACCTGGGGGAGCATGATCATGCTCATCATGCTCTTTACCATGCTCATCATGCAAACCATGCTCATCATGCGCATGGCCATGACATCATGGAGTCATGTTATGCTCGTCATGGTAGTCATCATAGGAGTTATCATGCTCATCATGATTATCACCATGCTTATCATGGTGATTATGATGCGCAGTCATCATGATAATTATCATGCTCATAACCTGAACATTCATCACCATGCTCATCATGCTAACGGCCATGCTCATCATGGTGGTCATGATGCTCACCATGCCCATCATTCTAATGGCCATGCTAATCAGTCATTAGGCATCTTATATAAGTATCATGAGCATAACCACCATGATGAGCATGGCCGTTAGCATGATGAGCATGGTGATGAATGTTCAGGTTATGAGCATGATAATTATCATGATGACTGCGCATCATA